GCTAGTAATGTTCTAAAAATCCACAAGATGAGAGTAGTTTCTCATAACAGAAAGCAGTGTCTTGTTCCAAAAGAAATTAAATTTAGCAAACGTTTATTGATTACTACATGAAAAGTATTATTTCATGTGCGGTATGCGGGCCTCTCACTGTTGTGGCCTCTCCCGTTGCAGAGCACAGGCTCCAGACGCGCGGGCTCAGCGGCCATGGCTCACAGGCCCAGCCACTCCGCGGCATGTGGGATCTTCCCGGACCGGGGCACGAACCCATGTCCCCTGCATCAGCAGGTGGACTCTCAACCACTGTGCCACCAGGGAAGCCCCTAAACAGCTCCCTTTTAAGTGGCAGTGTGTATAAGGATATATGTATACATATAGCTGATTCACTTTGTTGTACACCATAAACTAACACAATATTATAAAGCATTTATACTCCAATAAAGATGTGAAAAATAAATAAATAAATGGCAGTGTGGCAAAAGGACACCTACGTGTGTCTCTCTCTTGCCTCAAGCCTTAATCTCTCTTAATTTAAGGCCTTCTGTTTGACTCACATCTCAAAGAAACTTTAGGAAACCTCCTTATCACTACTTCCTATATTTAGAGGGAGCATGTCTCACCCTCCATGCACATGAAGACTCATCACATATGAGGTCTTTTAATAATAATGTCTCCCTCTAACTTTATGGATTTTCAATCCTGCTGCCATTTCATAAGGGCTGTAGGTCAGATTGAGGGCACATACTCTCCTCAGACCCATTAACCATAGATTGTCCAATGGGAGAAGCAACTGTCCACCTGGTATGTGGTCCATTTGAGCCTGAACTTTCCCTACCCAGGAAACCTTCCCCAATATTTGGATTATAAGGTGTTGAAAATTAATCTGGGATCTCCTTCTGATCCCATCCAGGAAATTCAAATTGGTGCATGTAGGCTAAGGCTCTTAATCTATAAGAAATACAGAAAACATGTTAATGATACCAGACTGTGGGAAACTATACAGAACAAATCGCCCAGTTTCTTCAACAAATACATTATAAACCAATTGCAACATATAGGTCTTATTTGGACCCAGATTCAAAGAAATTTTAAAATTTTAAAAAGATATGCCCGAAGAGGCAGTCTAAACTCTAACTGGGTATCTGATATTAAAGAAATATTGTTTGAGAGAAAATAATGGTATTGTGATTAAGTTTTTTATAAGACTCATCATTCACATACACACTGAAATGTTTATGGATGAAGTAATACAACAACATCTGGCATTTGCTACAAAATAATTCTGGGGTGGGCAGAGGTATAGATCAAACAAGACTAGCTATGAGTCAATCATTATTGAAGCTGAACAAAGGATGGTACATAGAGGTTCATTACTATTTTGTCTATTTTTGTACAGTTTGAATTTTTCATAATAAAAAGTTTAAAAAAATGCTGATCATGGCTCAGTGAATTGATTTTACCACACACACAAAAAATAAACAACACCATAGTTTGAAAACTCTACAATAGCATATTAATAATTTTCTTAAGCTTTCCAACAACTAGCAAAGTACCTTGAATAAAACATAAAATCAAAAAATAGTGATTAGTAAAGTAACGATACAGCCTCTCTGAGGGAAAATATAGCAAGAAGTATTAAAATTTAAAGTCCACACATAAGTTGGCCCAGAAAGTAGCATTCATCCTACTAATAAACTCATCAAATGAGCATCTATATTTATCCCACCACCGTTTACAATAGTAAAAGACTGATAGCCATCTGAAAGTTAGTAAGGGTCAGTTTTTAAACATGGAAGAAGTATGGAATACAGTTCAGCTATAAAAAATGAATAAGCCCGTCATGTACTAATATATGCATAGAATCCCCCTGGAAGTACTCAAGAAACTAGTCACACTGGTTGCCCTCTGAAATGGGAAAACTCTGTGACTAAGGGCAGAGCTGGGAGGGAGAATTTGCTGAATGCTCTTTTGAATCTTTTAAATACTTACAGTATCATCTTTTAAACAACAAAATTGAGAAGAAAATACTAAAAGAAAGGCTTCAAATTTCACTCTGTGGAATTTATTCTATTCCTTCAAAAATCTTAGAAAAGGACTAAGTATACAGGCGGCATTAAAATATTTAGCACACGAATATGTGTACCTCAGGTTAAAAGGAGAGAAATGGAGTGGAACATCTTTGGGTCCATTCCTCTAACTTCCCCCCATCCCCATTATTCTTTGGAACAGCAACGCCCAAGAACCAGATCACTAAAAGGATTCTTGCTATAGATTTTCGAGGACAGAAAGCTATATCCTGAAAATCCAGAAAGCAATTCAGAAACAAAAAAGAGAAAAACAACTCACCTTGGATAAAAATCTTAGTTGTCCAACAGCTACTCTTCCCTTGTTCTCTGGTCACCTGTGTCAGAGAAGTTGGTAAGAGTTAAATAATCTTGAGACACCAAGCCTTTCTTTGAGCGCAGGCTTATTTGTTAGAACCAAACATCTTCTACTCTCCCTGCCCCATCCCACGCCCCCCACCCCACGAGTTAAAGTAGACACTCAGCCGAAGCTCAACGACTGACCTGAGCAATGATGCCCTCCCTCTTTGGGAACCAGAGTGGAAGTCGAGAATCCGCATAGGGCTCCAGGTTGATTCCTGAGGGGAAACTGGAATCTTACTACCTCGATTTTTGCCTCCTCTCTTCTCAGCCCCCCGAACTTGAGGCTGTTTCTGGTTCTAAAATTCTCATTCTGACATCAGGTCTGTGACTTGGAGACAAGCTTCTTTATCTGGTCATTCTCGCAGCTTAACACAACCGCTCTCACGTCGGAAGACACAACTGCCACTCTCTCAAGTGGTCACACAAAATCAGGCAGTCCCACAGGCACATCACGTTACACAGACAGACAGACACACACACACACACACACACACACAGTGGCGTGCTAAGGCCTGAGGCTCTAGACACGGCCGGTCTTTGTCCCGGGGCTCAGACAACGCCTCACCTTCTGCTTCTCCGGCGTCCTGCCAGGTCCCAGCGGTCCGGTCCACATCAACAGTCCGCGCTCCGACAGCCGCTGCGCGGCTCAGCTCGTTCCAGCATTAACAGCGCTGACAACCTAGTAGGAAGTAACGTTACACCCGCAGGCTTCTGGAAAATGTAGTCCAGTACCCAAAAGATCCGAGAGAGCCAGCAACCCAAGCCTTCCGAGCCCCTCTCAGAACCGTACTCGTCCCAAAAGTACAAGCCGCGAGCGGCGGGTCCTCCGCCGACTCCGCAAATCACTCCGCGCGTCCGCCGACCCAGCTGTGATGTAGCAAGTCCGGTCGCGCTCTGGCGGGAAGCTTATTTCCGGCCGCGGGGACTCCTGGGACACGTAGTGTGAACTAGGAGTCCCAGAGGGCCAAAAGGGGTCGTCCTGTTGTCTCAGCCTCAGCTTACCACGGGTTGGCGCTGGATGCCGCCACAGAGTCCGAAGGCTCTGGCAGGTGGAGGGAAAGATAGTGCGGATTCCGAGGAGGCTAAAGGAGATGAATCTCCAGGCCGTTACTGCAGCCTGGCCTGTGGAGGAGGACGTAAGGAGAGTGACCCTTTACTGCTGGTGAGTGCATTTGCTTCAGTTTGTGACCTTGGGGGTGTGGTTGTGCAGCTGTTCCTGATACAGTTTTTATGATTAAAAATAAATAAATAAAGTGTTTAAAGTCCACTTTCTGAATGTAACATGCCAAAAAGTGCCCAAATCGTTAAAGATGGGTGATTTTTCATAAATTGCTCGAACTTAGAGTAACTGTTACTGAATACAAGTTCGTGTGCCTGAAGCGCAGTGAGGCCAAACTGAGGTGTTGGAGTTTGGAGCAGAGAAAGGCTTATTGCAGGTCCAAGTAAGGAGAACAGGTGGCTTGTGCTCAAAAACCCCAAACTCCCTGCTGGTTTTAACAGGCAAAATTTGGGGTGAGGGCTTCAGGGTGTGTGACTTTCTTCTGACTGGTGGTGAGGTAATAGGGCAGTGTTCCTGGACTCTTGTGCTCAGCCTGAAGTTACCTTCCTCCACCTAGGTGGGAGCCTTAGTTCCTGCAGAATAATGCAAAGATATGATTATATATATCCCTTGAGGAGGAACCAGGATCCTGCTTTAATGGTTACATTACGGTTTCTTTTTTTTTTGCCATGCCACTCAGCATGTGGGATCTTAGTTCCCGGACCAGGGACCTGCATTGGGAGCATGGAGCCTTAACCACTGGACCACCAGGGAAGTCCCATGCACTATAGTTTCTTGACTGCTCATTCTTGGTTTCTGCATTCCCTTACTTCCTTGATTAGTAACTGTTTGAATCTGCTCTTTGGTATTCAGGAAGGTCTAGGAGGCTGAAGCCTTTATCCTGCAAATAAGAAACTGGGGACACAGAAAGGTTTTTGTGCCCAGGAGGCCCTCACTGGGTTCTGATCAGTTTCATAACTAGCACCCCAGAAGTCCCCTACTGGTCTCCTGTAAAGATATCCATCACATGACTTACAATATTACAGATTAGTTTTGCCTGATTTTGAACTGAACATAAATGCAATCATATTGTATGCACACTTTCTAACCCCTTTGGTCTGACTTCTTTTGCCAAATATTCAGTTTGTGAGAGTAATTGATAAAGTTCGCTTACTCTTATTGTTGATGGTATTTGGCTTGTTTTTAGCTTGGGGCTACTAGGAATAGTGCTTTTGAACAGTCTCATTTGTGTATTTTGCTGTGTATATGTGTGCATCTTGGAGGGGAATTGCTGGGTCATAGGTTATGCATATGTTTAACTATAGTAATACATTGCCAAACGGTTTTCCAAAGTGGTTTTCCGATTGCAGCTATGTATTACAGTTCCAGTTTCTCTGTATACCTAACACACACTTTATGTGTTTCCTTTTTAACCTTTCTGGTGGGTGCATGGTGGTTTTCATTTGAATTTACCTGATGTGTCCATTTGTATATCTTCTGTAACAGGGGAAGATACCTGCCAGCTTTAGTATTAATTTGGGCAAACAGGAAGAGGACCAAGAGAATCTGGATCCTCTTGTAGAGGTCTGTACTGTTTAGATTGGTGTTGATCCACAGTGCCTTCAATAGTGCCTCTCTTTCCTTACCGCCTTTAAGAACAAATAGGACTAGAGTAAAGGCAAAGGTCCATCCTTCCCTAAGAGGGACCCAAGGCCACCTGCACTGGTCAAGGTATGTTGGGGACTTGACAGTGACCAAGGTTGCCAAACATTTTAAGCCCTTTTGGACATTGGGACATAAGTTACTGCGGTGCTAGAAAGCACCCTTGGGTGTGGTCAAAAAAATTACTTGAAGCAGTTAATAATAACTTCCAGAAATAATTTGGAAAGTAATTTCCAGATTGATCAATAGACTGGTATAACTTTACAGGTGGACTCTTTTGGAGCAATACCCATTCAAGTGGTTGTAACTGATACTGCTGAATGTGTTGTGGTAATAGATGTGTTAATTATAGGTAATAGTTCTCTTGACCATTAGGGATGTTCCCAATGGGGAAATGCCACAATTAGAACAGTGGTAGTGACGCAAGTACCCAACCTGGAGCCTACTAGACGTCTTCAGTATAGTCATGTAGTTACTGTGAAGTAGTATAGGGTGCTGGGGAAGGAGGACAGAGGGAGTAGAAGACGTCAGAGGTCACTATACTGATCAAGGAGCTAGTGGAGGAAGAGGTGCTTAAAGAAACTATGTCACATAATGGCCCTCAGTGGCCAGTGAAAAAGACAATGTTATCTGGCTCTGGACTGTGAACTACCAGAAGCTCAGTTTGGCAGTAGTCTCTCTCACACATGCAGTTCCAGTATTAACAATCACAGAGTCTGTAATGCAGACTGAAGGAGTCTGTCTTGCCATGGTTGGTGGACATTGCTAATACCTTCTCAGCATCCTGTTGCATTCTGCAAATCAGTGCCAATTTGCCTTCACAAGTTTCTAATTACCTTTATTTTATCATGTTGCCACAGGCTACCTAAACTCTTCACAATTCATCGTTAGTGAATAGGCCAAGATCTAAAAAGGCTGAAATATTACCAGAGATGTCCTGTTACCATTACATTGATGGCATTATTCCGATTGGAAGGGCTAAGCACAGCATATAGACTGCCTTTCATAAGATGAGTCAATTATCTGAACCAGGGCTGGAAGATTAAGATCCCAATAAGATACAGGGGCTAAACACTGAAGGAAGATTCTTGGAAACCAGGTGGGCTGCCCAGAGAAAAAGCCCTGAGCTTTTTAAAGAAAAATTGTTGGCCTTAAAAGCTTCAGCAAACAAAATGAGGCACAACATGTGATAGGCACGTTTGGGTGTTGGAGGCACTTCATACCTCACATGAGGAACCTCCTAACTCACTATATAAGATCACTCAAAAGGGGCACTGTCCAATAACAGGCCTTAGAAACTATCCAACAAGCTGTACAGGCTGCCCTTCCATTCTGGCCAGTCAGCCATAACAAGGCTTTTGAGCTGCAAGCGTCAGCAATTGACATTTATGCAGACTGGAGCCTGTGGCAAAAAGATGTGGTCACTAGGCAATGGCATTCCCTTGGGTTTTGGACATGCACGTGTCTGACACCATCAACGAGTATTATTAGTTTCCTAGGACTGCCACAACAAAGTACCTCAAACTAGCTGGTTTAAAACAACAGAAATTTATTGCCTCACAATTCTGAAGGCCAGAAGTCTGAAATCAAGGTGTTGGCCTCTCTGAAGGCTCTAGGGGAGAATGTTTCCTTGTTTTTTCCTTATTTCTGGTGGTTTCTGGCAATTCTTGGCATTCCTTAGCCTGTAGACATATCACTCCAATCTCTGGCTCTGTTATCACATGGCGTTCTCTTTGTATGGCCGTGTCACTGTGTCCAAATTTGCCTTTTATAAAAATAAGGACACCAGTCATATTGCATTTAGGGCCCACTCTAATCCAGTGTAACCTCATCTTAACTTGATTATATCTGCAAAGACTGTATTCCCAAATAAGTAAGTCACATTTATGGGTTCCAGGTAGCCATGAATTTGGAGGGGACACTATTCAAGCCAGTACAACAAAATACCCCGTTTCGGAGACAATTACTGGCTCATTATTAGTCACTGGATACTGAAGACTAACAAACCAATAGCAGGTTGTGTTACACAAACATCCCTATCCTGGGTTAGAAATGTGAATACCAACAAAGTGAATATTGTACAACAGCATTCATTATTAAGTGGAAGTGGAATATCCAGAAAAGAAGCAAACTGGTCATTCATGGCATTTCACATCTACATGAATAAGTGACTAGTCATTCTCCAGATGCAGTTATGTCAGATGCAGTGTCTGTTCCAGCACCTTGAGCTTCTAGGGAGCTTCAATACACTAAGATTCCTGAGTATTCCTGGGCCTGGTTCATGGACATATCAGCTAAGTTAAAAACAGATGGGATGTACTAGACCACTGCTGCTGTGCAGCCTCAAAGAAAAATGCTTAAAGTTGTGCATGGAAAAGAGAATTCTGCTTAATGGGAGGAACTGCAGGCTGCGATGCTTCCCCTGGAAAATACCCCTCAAAATGTACCTTGTTACATTTTCACTGACTCATGGGCAGGAGCCAGTGCACTGGCGATGTGGTGTTGTACCTGGCGGTGGGACAACTGGATAATTAAGTTTCAGCCTCTGTGAGGATGAAGCATTATGGCAAGAGATTGCACAAGACCCACATCCCTTGGTTGTAACCATGTGGATGCCCATTGAAAAGGGTTTTATGAGGACCAAGTGTCAGCAACTGACAATATGCAGACTGGAGCCTATGGCAAAAAATGTGTCCACTAGGCAATGACATCCCCTTGGGTTTTGGACACAGCACATTTCTGACACTGTCAATCAGTATATTAGTTTCCTAGGGCTACTACAACAAAGTGCCACGAACTAGGTGGATTAAAACAACAGAAATTTATTGGAATGGAATCTATGAGATCATTAGATAAGGACCCAGGTAAGGGCCATGGCCACCTGGATTCACAATCACACGTGTATAGATAATCCATCTGTAATTCAGGACTGAGCCCCAAAATGAGACATGGTGATTCCAACACAAGAGGTCAGGAAAGCCCAGCAAACATGCCTAGGCTGTCAACTATGCAGTTGAGTAGCAAAGAGAACTCTTGGACACATAGCCAGGGGTACCAGACCTGGCCAGTCCTGGAAAATAGACCATATAGGCTCTCTCTGTTCCACCCAAAGGTACAGGTGGGAATTGACTGCAGTAGACACCCTTTCAGTGTATAGCACTGCCAACCTGTCCACACAGCAGATGGGGGCCATACTTTGCAAAGACTCTTAGATGGAATAGTATGGTCATCTAAGCCATAGATGTGTTACATTGTTATCTACTTGGATTCCCTGAACATATCCAATCAGACAATAGTGCCACCTTATAACCAAAACATATGCTGCAACAGGCAGCTACGTGGGATATTCACTGGACCTTTCATGCCCTGTCTCATATGCAGGCAGCAAGTACCATTGAAAGATGGAAAATGGAAAGATGGAGAAACTGAAAAGGTAATTAGACAACTGAGACAGCTCCCAGTGGAGCACATAATTAAGACAGGCAGTTTGGGCACTAAATGTGGCAATTCTCCCAAAATGTTACCTTCCATTTAAATAGAATGTTTAATTATGAGGTTGGAGAGGATGGAAGAGGCCCAGACTGCTGTCAGAAACCCAATCCACGTAATTAACTTCTCACTCTACCTTTTTGCCTTCCACACATACCCTTGGAGAAAAGGGGGCTGGGAAACTCTAACCTAGTACTTCTTTTATCTCCTGGCTGTACTTGCTGAACTTAGCAATTATGGATATTGATGATAATGATCATGAATATGAGGTGATGTTTTAAATTTTTGTTTTATTTTTAAGGGGAAAAATAATGTTTATCACCTTTTATCGCCTATATGCTTGCCCAAATTCTATGTTTTGTAACCCCCCAAAATCCTCAAAGTGGAGGAATTTTAAATTTTATTCATGTTGGCTAAGGCAAGGACTGAGTTTCAAAACCAGTTCTCTCTTGAGTTCAGAGCCTGTGCTCTGCCTACTACATTAATATCTTTAAAAAACAAAAAAAACCCACTTTATTGGGACTTCCCTGGTGGTCCAGTGGTTAAGACTCCACACTCCCAATGCAGGGGACCCAGGTTCAATCCCTGGTCAGGGAACTAGATCCTGCACACCGCAACTAAGAGGCTGCATGCTACAACTAAAAGAGCCTGCATGCCACAATGAAGTTCCTGTGTGCCACAACGAAGATCCTGCTTGCCGCAGTGCAAGACCCAGTGCAGCCAAATAAATAAAGAAATATTTAACGCCCCCCAAAAAACCCACTTTATTAAGTACGATTGATATAATACAAAAAAACTGATAATGCATTAATTTGATGAGTTTGGAGATAAGTACATATCATGATCATGATCATGATCACCAGAATCAATGCCATAAACATATCCATCACCTCCAAAAGTCTCCTCCCACCCTCTTTATTTATTATTATTTTTTGTGTGATAAGAACACAGACTGTCAGATGTTCCCTCCTGGCAAATGCTCAAGTATACAATACAATATTATTAACTATAGGCCCTAGGCTGTACAGTAAACTCTAGGACTTACTCATCTTGTGTATCTGAAACTTGAACCATTTTACTATTACCTCCCCATTTCTCCCTCCCTAAGTTTTTATTTTTAAATAGACTAATAGCACCTTTCTCCAAGAGTGCTTGTGAGGATACCGTGAAATCTGACATGAAGTAAAGGTCCAGCAGTCATTACTAGCCGTCTCCCACAGCTTCTCAGCCCTTCCTGTTTTTTGGACTTGGGCCCTTGGCTGGGGCAAAATTGTGTGCTGAGACCAGTTGTAACTCTGCTCCTCACATCGGGGCAGGGGCAAGCTAGACTCCTTCAGGGTTTCCCATGTCCCATCCCTTCCCTCATCTAACTTTTTTTTCTTCCAGTTTCATTGAGCTATAATTGACATACAGTACTGTATAAGTTTAAGGTATACAGCATAATATTTGACTTACATACATCATGAAATGATTACCACAATAAGTTTAGTGAACATCCATCATCTCATATAGATACAAAAGAAAAAATTAATTTTTCCTTGTGATGAAAACTCTTAGTATTTATTCCCTTAACAACTTTTGTATGTAACATACAGCAGTATTAGTTATATTAATCATGTTGTATATTACATCTCTAGTACTTATTTATCTTATAACTGGAAGATTGTACCTCTTGACGACCTTCATCCAATTCCCCCTCCTCCTACCCACTGCCTGGGGTGACCACAAATCTGATCTCTTTTTCTATGAGTTTGTTTGTTTGTTTTTTGTTGTCATTGAAGTATAATAGACCTACAACACTATGTTAGTTACTGGTGCACAACATAGTGATTCAATATACTATACATTACAAAATGATCGCCACGAGCTGATGACTCTTAAGGTGGTGCTGGCATGGTCCACACAACAGGAGTGGAGGAGGTTCTAGGATATCACAGGTATAGTAAGAAACTGCTGAGGCATCTAGGAATGAGTTATGCCATATGGTATCAATAAGACATGGGGGATATTGGAAAAAGAATGAAGTGATTGCTGCAGGGACTGGTTGGAGACTGATCATATAGCTGTAGAAGAGGAACAACCCTGATCATTGGGTATAGAACACTTAGACCTTTTGAGGTGAGGGTAGAGGAAGGGACCATTAATCTCTCTCAACTCTTATCCCTGTCCAACACCTGGCCAGTTTATCCCAAACTGTCACCATCACGTCAACATAACTGTTGACCAACAAATAGTCCTAATCAGAAACCTTCCAAGAGCTGCTGACTTCAGAAAGGAACAGCCTCCACTTGAAATGATAGAACAAGATTATTTTTCCACACTGATAGGATTTTCTTTAGCCTGTTCTTTTGTTTTTAAAACTATTGATTATTCTAAACTCTCTAGGATGAGTGGTAATAGACAACTGTATTGCCCTGGACTTCCCACGGGCCAGTACAGGTGATGTATATGTAAATACATCGCAAACATTTCTTGCCACACTTGGATCATTGAAACGGGAAAAGCAGAGCAACCCATTTTTCACCTTGGAAAAATGTGTAGCTCTCTCAGGTTGATCCCAATGGCAGCTGGGACATATTTAGCTGACTTGGCTCCAGATTGGGCCTACTAGAAGTCATAGTTGTGGTTAGTGGTCACTATGTTTCTTAAGGCAATGGAACGTATTTGGTCCAAGCCTCTATCTATACAACAAATTAGAGAATCAGATGGGGTAGCCAATGATCCTGAGAATTCTTAGCTGGATACTGAATGGTAGGGGCATGGAATTGTAGGCAACAGCTCCACTGTTCGCTACAGTTGCATGGACTCATGCAGGTAAAGGCTTGAAATAGAGCTTACCTGAGTCTTGGCAGAATGCCTTGTGATTCTCCTAGAACATGAAAGGTGGGAGGCCAGTAAGGAGATGCTACCAGGCCATCTCTCATTTGCCTCCTTGTGTTAGAACTTGGGAGGCTGTTTTGAGATAGTTTCTAATCACCTTCCAGGTTCTGGTGAAGTATGGGGCTTTCTGCCCAACACCGCTCCCCCCCTGCAACAGAGCTGCAAAAACAAAACAAAACAACACACCACCAACAAAAGAATAGAACTGCTGAATATTAAACTGCTTAGCTGCAGTCTAGGACTGACTTCTCAGCAATGAAGTTAGTATCCCACAACTCACAATGCACTCATCCAGCCCCTTTGTTTCAGTGCCATCCTTTTTGGCGTCTAGAACAAGGATCATAGGGAGCTTGGTGTCTTTTCATTGTATTCATACGTAATAAACTGTCCAAGTCTAAGAGTGGTTCATAGTATTTTACTGGTTGAAATAGTCAGGCCTTGTCTTGTGTACGTGAGCTTGACAAAGATCTTTAAGAACTGCTAACAGTGTGTTCAAAGCAATCTAGACTTTTTGTATCGTGCTCTTTACAATTTTTCCAGTCTCCTATTCCCACTCCCACATTTTAGTTATTGGTTACAGCAGCACCTCACTTCTGGTGTCCAAATCTATTTTAGTTTTCTATTATGGCATAATAAATTAACAAAAACTTAGCATTTTAAAACAGCACCCATTTAAATTTGGTTCAATTCAACCCACTCACAGTTATTAAGCATCCATAGAGGCCTTGGGGGATATAGTAATGCGTGTGAAAAGTCCCCTATCTTCTTTAAGTTTTTGTGGGTTTTTTTTTACTGCATTGGGTCTTCATTGCTGCATGCAGGCTTTTTCTAGTTGCGGTGAGCGGGGGCTACTCTTCACTGTGGTGCACGGCTTCACTGTGGTTTGGGCTTCTCATTGCAGTGGCTTCTCTTGTTGCAGAGCACAGGCTCTAGGTGTGTGGGCTTCAGTAGTTGCAGCACGTGGGCTCAGTAGTTGCTGCACACAGGCCCTAGAGCACACAGGCTTCAGTAGTTGTGGCACACAGGCTCTAGGGCACGTGGGCTTCAGTAGTTGTGGTGCGTGGGCTCATTAGTTGTGACTCATGGGCTCTAGAGTGAAGGCTCAGTAATTGTGGCACATGGGCTTAGTTGCTCTGCGGCATGTGGGATCTTCCCGGACCAGGGATCAAACCCATGCCCCCTGTATTGGCAGGTGTTAGCAAAATTCATACAAAATAGTAATTAACAATGATTTCTTTACTTGTTAACTCACAAGGAAACACCTTCAAAACTGCATTTTGTTAAAGTCTCTGTACTAAAATGTAGCAAAACTGAACTACACAAATATTGAAAAGTTTAAAATTCCTTAATTTTTTATTCTGGTACCACTACCACAATTTACAGGGCAATATACCTGATGTAATGAAAAGAAAAAGACAAAGCTACAACAGATAAAAGACCTCAGGAATGTACATCTAATTGACACTACATTGCATTAGTCAATAGCTGCACTTTTTGCAAACTGTGGCTATGACAGTCCTGAACAAGAAGGGTTTCCTGTTTAAGCTGCAGTAACTTTTCTGACTATGGATCATCATTCCTTCTGTGGCAGATTTTTACAGTTCCTCTAATGCATTTGGGACGACTGTCTCAAAGTAACCTGCAGCTTTCCTGACAACTCCTCGCTCTCCTGCTAAGAACTGTAGCCCTTTTCTTCTGAGTTTTTAGAACCTTCTGCTACCATCTCCACCACTTCCACCACCAGATCCATAACCACCACCATAGGGACTTCCTGAGCTTCTTCCACCAAAACTGCCCCCCTTCATGGGTCCATAATTTGATTGCTCTTGTCCACTATAATTTCCAAAATCATTATAGCTACCACCACCACCATAGTTACCTCCAAAATTTCCTCCTTCACTGTAACCATCATATCCTCCACCACCGCCACCATATCCACCACCTTGGTTTCCATATCCTGGTCCCCCATCACCATAGCCTCCTCTACTACTGTAACTAGGACCACCGCCATAGTTACCACCGTCGCCTCCAAATCCATTATATCCACCATCACCTCCTCCATAACTACCTTTGCTGCCACCACCTCCACCACCATAGCCTCCTCTTCCACCAAAGTTTCCACCACGGCCAAAGTTACCTCCACCACCTCCAAAGTTTCCTCCACGACCCATAAAGTTGCCAGATCCACCTCCATGACCTCTTTGTGATCAGCAGATTGCACTTCTTAGAAAGGGCCTTTTTCACTTCACAATTATGCCCATTAATAGTGTGGTATTTCTGAACAATTTTATCAACTGTATCATGATCATCAAAAGTTACAAAAGCAAATCCTCTCTTTTTTCCACTCTGCCTGTCTTCCATAACTTCTATGGTTTCAATCTTGCCATACTTTTCAAAGTAGTCTCTCAAATTATATTCTTCTATATCTTCTTTAATACCACCAACAAAAATTTTCTTCACTGTTAGATGGGCACCAGGCTTTACAGAATCCTCTCTAGAAACAGCTGTCTTTGGTTCCACTACACGCCCATCAACCTTGTGTGGTCGAGCACACACTGCTGCATCCACCTCTTCAACACAGGAGTAAGTCACAAAACCAAAGCCCCTGGAACGTTTTGTTTGGGGGTCTCTCATCACCACACAATCTGTTAAGTGTGCCCCATCTCTCAAAATGTTATCTTAAGCTATCATCTGTAGTTTCAAAGCTCAGACCACCAATAAACAGTTTTCTCAACTGTTCTGGTTCCTTTGGATCATGTCCCTCCTCCCCCCCGGCGGCGGCAGCGGTGACGGCCGGAGTCGGGCTGGGGGCGACCGGGCAGCGGTATTACCACCATTTTGAGACCGGACTCGCCTCTTCCAACTCGAGTTCAATATGGGACCGACCATTATGAACTTTTTGATGGCGATTAAGATTTGAACTTCTTTCAAAAGCCTTCCTACATTCCTTGCATTCATAAGGTTTCTCACCAGTATGAATTCTTTGATGCAGAATAAGGTCTGAAGAATGAAGAAAGGCTTTCCCACATTTGTTACAAGTATATGGTTTATCACCAGTATGAATTTACTGGTATATTACACAATTTAAAACTTTCCCACATTCATTACATTCCCAGCCCTTCTCACCAGTGTGAATTTTCTGATGTTGTGTAAGTATTGAATCTCTACGCAGGATTTTTCCACATTCCTTACATTCATACAATTTTTCATCAGCATGAATTAACTTATGTCGAGAAAGGTCTGATGAACAACGAAAGGCCCTTCCACATTCCTTACATCTGTAGGGTTTCTCAGCAGTATGAATCCTCTGATGTTGAATAAATTCTGAAGTCTGACATGAAGGCCTTCCCACATTCCTTACAAACATAGGGTTTCTCACCTGAATGAATTCGTTGATGTGCTGTAAGTATTGAGACAGTACTAAAGGCTCTTCCACATTCCTTACATTTGTTGGGTTTTTCACCAGTATAAATCCTCTGATGCCGAATAAAGGCAGAAACATTGCTAAAAGCCCTAACACAATACTTACATTCATAAGGTTTCTCACCAGTATGAATTCTTTGATGTTGACTAAGGTATGAGGAACGATGAAAGGCTTTTCCACATTCTTTACATTCATTGGGCTTCTCACCTGTGTGAATCCTTTGATGTACTCTAAATATTGAACTAGTACTAAAGGCCTTTCCACATTCATTACATTCATAGGGTTTCTCAACAGTATGAATTCTCTGATGATGAATAAGGGCTGTACCATTATTAAATTCTCTAACACAATAATTACCTTTAAAGAACTTCTCACTTGTATGAATGTTCTGATGTAGAAAAAAACGTGAGGCATTAGTAAAGGCCTTCTGACTTTCCTTAAATTTATTATATTTCCCCCTAGTAAAAATTATCTGATGTTGTATAAAGTCTGGGCCACTATTCAAAGACTTTCTACGTTCCTCACATTCATAGGGTCTCATACCGATAGGCACTGTATAATATAAATTAAGCGCTGAAGTGCTACTAAGGGACTCCCTGTATTCTTTATAATCATAGAATTTTTTGTCAGTATGACTTTCTTGATTTGTAGTAAGTTGTGAGTCTTGTCCATAGGTATTTTTATGTTTTCTGTATTCATAAAATTTCTCTTTAGTATTAAATGTTTTATGTAGAGAAAGAGATGTATGCTGAAAGAAAGTGGCAATGTCTTCAGAGGTACATGACACTTGACTAAAATGTCTTTCCTGAGATTCTCGTTTAAGTCCATGCTTTGTAAACCCTTCCATTATAACCCGTTGGGATGAATCTATTTCATAGTTATCCTTTTTCAGAGATACTTTCTGGTTCTCAAACCTAGATTTATATTCTGAAAGAAAACACAAATAAAAACATTCACTTTTTTTTCTTGGAAGATACAAAACTTTGAATAAAAAAGGGAGATTTACAGTGACATTAATGTCTATAAATGTGAATAGAATGTGTAGTTTTGATATGGTGGTACAATTTGAAAAATAAAGAAAATGTAAAAATTGAAAAGTGATACAGGAAGGTAAGAGGGAAAGTGATTAGGAAAAGATAAATCGGTGATTGTCAAATTTTGGAACAAATTCAAATTATATTTTGGCAAAAAAAAAGTTTGACAACATAGCCTTTCTCACACATTCAGTGTAGCAAATAAAAATGATACAATCAGCATAGAAGGATATTTGCCAGTTTCTAGCAAAATTTATCCTTTGACCCAGCAATCCCAGTTCTAGGAACCCAAACAGGTACTCTCAGGAAAAAATCTGAAAATATTTATGCAGAAGCATATCCACCACAGAACTTGTTGTAAGAGCAAATAATTAGAACCAATCCAAATAGCCACTAGCTTGGTACTGCTCAAACTCATTATAGTATATGGACAAAATAGAGTTCTATGCAACTGCATAAAGAAATGAGAATCATATAGGTATTCCTATGGAGTGATCTCCATGATGTATCTTTTTAGAGTGAAATAGCAAGGTGGAATAAACTATCTAGTGTATGCTACCATTTGTATAAGAAAGGGAATGCATGAAGATATATACATTTGTGTTCACATTAGAAAAAACAATGAAAGGATAAACCATAAAGTTTATAAAAGATTTCATAGGTTGGAGGGAATGAAAACAGTGGAAGGGGAGAAGAATGGAAGCTAGGCATCTATGAATTTATGCTGTTTTGTAGGTCTGACATTGGAAATGTAAATTTTAATAAATTTGTAAAACAAAATTAAATAATAAATACAAAAATATAAAAACCAAAATTGAATAGATGAACCTTGTTGGGTTGTGCCATTGGGTTGTGCCAGAAGCAGAGACAGAAAGTAATTCTAATGGTGCTGAAATACAAGATTTGATTGTACATTACTAGTGGGTTACCAAACACTATTGAAAACATTGCATGGTAGTGATCTGAGTGTTCTTATTACTTAAAATGTACAGTATATTTTATGTACATTTTCCAAAAATATATTGAAAAAAATAAGAGGAACAAAGGGGAATAGCCTCAATTCATCTGATGAGGCTGGGTATAAAATGAGACAAGAACAGTATTTGAAAAAAAAATTATGATTCAGTATAATTAATGGGTATAGATGGGTATAGATTCTAAACAAAATATTACCAAATTGGATCTAGTAATTTAATTAAAACCCCCAAATCATCATGACAAATTGAATTCATTCTAGGAGTATCAAGTTAAATCATAAGAAAATTTGTTAATGTAGGCCATTAACAAAAAAATAAACAAAATTCAGCATCCGGTCATAAACTCTTATAAGTTACGAATACAATAGAATTTCTTTATACTAATGAAGTGTATCCTCACAAAAATACAGCAAAAATACACATAACAATGAAAGTTTAAAATCAAGCCCCAATTCATCTTTGTGGTATTCTTTCCCAAAACCCCCAAATCCAATCTAATCATCAGAAAAATATCAGACCAATACAAATTGAGATATATTCTACAAAATACCTGACAAGCATTTTGTCATAACTGTCAAGGTCATAAAAAAACAAGAAAAAAACTAAAAAACTGTCATAGACCACGAGACATGACAGTAGAAAAAAGACATTAATGGAAAACGGTGAAATCTGAATACGTTCTACAGTTTAGTTAATAATAATGTACTGGACTCCCCTGGTGGCACAGTGGTTAAGAATCCACCTGCCAATGCAGGGGACACTAAGCCCATGCACCACAACTACTGAGCCTGCATTCTAGAGCCCACAAGCCCACGAGCCACAACTACTGAGCCCATGTGCCGCAACTACTGAAGCCCACACACCTAGAGCCCGTGCTCCGCAACAAGAGAAGCCACTGCAATGAGAAGCACGCATACTGCAACGAAGCATAGCCCCCATCGCCACAACTAGAGAAAGCCCGTGTGCAGCAATGAAGACCCAATGCAGCCAAAAATAAATAAAATAAATAAATTCATTTAAAAAAAAGAGAAACCACTGCAATGAGAAGCCTGTGCACCATAACAAAGAGTGGACCCCGCTCGCCGCAACTAGAGAAATCCTGCACACAGCAATGAAGACCCAACACAGCCATAAATAAATAAATAAATAAATAAATGTATAAATCTTGGGTTCTTAGTTTTGACAAGTATACCACAACAATATAAGGGAAACTGATATTGGATGAGGGATATATAGGAACTCTTTATGCTATTTTTGCAACTTTTTTGTAAATATAAAATTACTCCAAAATTTAAAATTATTTTAAAAAGAAGAAAAATTATGACTATAAAAATCATGTAAAATGATGAAGACAGTAACACTACTTCTTTTTTTATATTAAACTTAAAAAAATTTTATTGGAATATAGTTGATTTACAATATTGTTAGTTTCTACTGTACAGCAAAGTGAGTCAGCTATATGTATACTTATGTCGCCTCTTTTTTGGATTTCCTTCCCATTTAGGTCACCACAGAGTACTGAGTAGAGTTCCCCATGCTATATAGTAGGTTCTCATTAGTTATCTATTTTATACACAGTATGAATAGTGTATCTATGGCAATCCCAATCTCCCAATTCATCCCACTCCCCTTTCCCCCTTGGTATCCATACGTTTGTTCTCTACATCTGTGTCTCTATTTCTGCTTTGTAAATCAGATTGTCTATACCATTTTTTTCAGATTCCACATGTATGCATTAATATACAATATTTGTTTTTCTCTTTCTGACTTACTTCACTCTGTATGACAGTCTCTAGGTCCATCCACATCTCTACAAATGACCCAATTTCGTTCCTTTTTATGGCTGAGTAATATTCCATTGTATATATGTACTACATCTTCTTTATCCATTCCTCTGTTGATGGACATCTAGGTTGTTTCCATGTCCTGGCTATTGTAAATAGTGCTGCAATGAACATTGGGATGCTTGTGTCTTTTGGGATTATGGTTTTCTCTAGGTATATGCCCAGTCGTGGGATTGCTGGATCACATGGTAGTTCTATTTTTAGTTAAGGAACCTCCATACTGTTCTCCATAGTGGCTGTATCAATTTACATTCCCACCAAGAGTGCAAGAGCATTCCCTTTTCTCCACACCCTCTCCAGCATTTATTATTTGTAGATTTTGTGATGATGGCCATTCTGACCAGTGTGAGGTGATATCTCATTCCAGTTTTGGTTTGCTCTTCTCTAATAATCGATGCTGTTGAGCATGTTTTCATGTGTTTGTTGGGCACCTGTATGTCTTCTTTGGAGAAATGTCTATTTAGGTCTCCCACCCATTTTTTGATTGGGTTGTTTGGGGCTTTTTTGATATTGAGCTGCTTACATATTTTGGAGATTAATCCTTTGTTACTTGCTTCGTTTGCAAATATTTTCTCCCATTCTGAGGGTTGTCTTTTCATCTTGTTTATGGTTTTCCTTGCTGTGCAAAAGATTTTGAGTTTAATTATGTTCCATTTGTTTATTTTTGTTTTTATTTTCATTACTCTAGGAGGTGGGTCAAAAAAGACTTGCTGTGATTTATGTCATAGAGTGTTCTGCCTATGTTTTCCTCTAAGAGTTTAATAGCGTCTGGCCTTACATTTAGGCCTTTAATCCATTTTGAGTTTATTTTTGTGTATGGTGTTTGGGAGTGTTCTAATTTCATTCTTTTACATGTAGCTGTCCAGTTTTACCAGCACAACTTATTGAAGAGGATGACTTTGCTGCATTGTATATTCTGGCCTCCTTTGTCATAGATTAGGTGACCATAGATGCGTGGGTTTATCTCTGGGCTTTCTATCCTGTTCCGTTGATATATATTTGTTTTTGTGCCAGTACCATTATGCCTTGATTACTGTAGCCCTATAGTATAGTCTGAAGTCAGGGAGCCTGATTCCTCCAGCTCTGTTGTTTTTTGTTTTTTGTTTCCTCAAGATTGCTTTTGCTATTCGAGGTCTTTTGTGTTTCCATACGAATTGTAAAATTTGTTTATCTCGTTCTGTGAAAAATGCCATTGGTAATTTGATAGGGATTGCATTGAATCTGTAGATTGCTTTGGGTATATAGTAATTTTCACAATATTGATTATTCCAATCCAAGAACATGGTATATCTCTCCGTTTGTGTTGTCTTTTATTTCTTTCATCAGTATCTTATAGTTTTCTGCATACAGGTCTTTTGTCTCCTTAGATAGGCTTATTCCTAGGTATTTTGTTCTTTTTGTTGCAGTGGTAAATGGGACTGTTTCCTTAATTTCTCTTTCTGATCTTTTGTGGTTAGTGTATAGGAATGCAAGATATTTCTGAG